TTCAAGTTTCACTAGTGCTGAAAGGTGTAAATGGCGGTGCATAGAAGATGTTCAGGCCAGATATTGAAAGGGGAGGGTGACCCACCTGTACGGGGGCAGTTCAGTTAGAGACTCCTTTTATATGGGGCAGTAGGGAGTAGGCAAATTCCACAGCTTGCCTGAAAGTTAGGGTCTTTGGGGCCAACTTCAGGGAGTGAGGCTAACCAGATCCTCTGTGTCTTTGCTTTAGGAGGAGAGGAGAAGGAGGAGGAGGGGAAAGGATTTGTGTGTGGCCGTGTTAGGCCTCCCAACAAATGCTAGGTAGGGAGAAAGTGCTCTAGGTTCCTGCAAATAGGGCAAGCAAACGCATAGTTACAAAGGCGTGGAAATAACTTTTATTAATCAGTACATTCTTCATAAATCCCAGTGTGGCCTTCTTTGATAAAATCCAGATTAGAGAATATGATTTAGGACAGAAGCTTACAGTGGGGTCCTCTACCTCCCATCCTGGATTTCTGTTTGGGGACTTGCATGTTCCAATGCGTCTGCAGAAATACATTTGTGTTTGCGGAGGAGATTCTGAGTCCAACAGCGGCCTAAAAAAGAACCCCAGGCCTGCTTCGCCAGCTGCTCCCAAGATGCCATTCAGCTCGCCGTGGGCCCCGCCCATCTTGCACTCGACTCTGAATTCCAGCAGCTGCCACTCAGTACTTCCTCTGCCCCCCACGCGCCACAGAATCACAAGCCCAGGGGAGGATGTGCATTTTTCCCTAATGCTGACATGGCAGGAAGCAATTCCAGCTGTCCATGCAGCCAGATGGGCTGAAGTTCTTACGTTGGTTTTTTTGAGATATACCTGGAGGTTTCTAGCAAATCCCTCCCTTTACTTGATCTCCGAAAACAAATGAGTAAGGCAGACCTATCTCTGTAGTAAGAGAAGACAGTGAGTCAAGAAAGCCTGAGAAACAGCGACAGCTAAGGTCGTGGGGAAGAGGAGAAAAGAACAAAATGACGCAAAAAAAGAGCTCTGGAGACAAAAAAGAAAGTACGCCTCAGATTTCTGATGAGTTTCAAGGAGGTTGCCGAGGTCCTGAGTGTAAGGAGGACTGGCAGAAAGGTAAGGGCTGATAAAAGCTCTTTGGGATTGAGAATGGATTGGCGAGGAGCTGTCCCACAGCGAGGAACAAAGTTAGCAAGTAGACGGAAGGAGTAAGGCTGCGAAAGTTGGCCAGCGAGAAAAAAGGTGAGATAGCTGCGGCTGGCATCTTCCTTTGCTTGGGATACCAGGCCGTTGTCTCCACCCCCAGCCCCGTCCGGCCCCGTCCGGCCCCATCAGCCGCCCCCTTCCCTTCTCTCACTCCCTGCTCTCCCCACTCTCTTCTCTTTCTTATCTCTTCCTCCCATTCTCTTCCTTTCTCTAATATTAAATAAACGTATACTTTCATATTCTAAAAGACAAAGCTAGTTGCTAAAGAGTTCACCATCTCAGGGAGGTTTTTATCGGAGCTGTATTTAGAGGCCTAGAGGTGAGTGTGCTGCCTGGGAGACGGTGTGTGCAACCTTTCTCCAGAGAAGCTGAGAGGGCCTTTTCGGGAGATGGAGCTTTCTGTTACAGGCGGAAAACCACAGACTTGGAGACTGAGAGGATCGGGATACATGGAACCGATTTATAAGGGCGTAGATGGAAAAGGGTGTGTGTATTCAGAGTCTTTGCAAGTTTGATTAGGCCTTATTTCATAGTCATGCTTCAGTTATCCTTTGGCTACAGAATTCTTCCTTGATATTCTGTAAACATCAGCTCTCTTGTGGTTTCCTGGCATTTAGTTGGCAAATGAAAGGGAGAGGTCAATGGGTTTCTTTGCCTTTGGTGAGTACCTGATTTGGGGGAGGTATCTTTTGTGGGGGACAAGTGAGCGGGGTAGAGAAGTGGTCTGGAAGCTTGTAGGATTTCTTGTGGAAATCTTTTTGTTGTTATTTATGGGTTTCATCGGAGTATGGCTTTTTTCTGGTATTTCTGCCCAACAATCTTTAGGTCCTTTAAAAATAAAATCTAGATTTTCTTTAGCTAATGAAAATGTTCTCTTATTGCTTCTTCGATCATTTCTCCTTGTCCTCCCTACCTCATTCTCTTCCTCCTCCCTCCTCTTCCTCATCTTCCCTCCTGCTCCTCTTCCTCCTCCCCTTTGGAATTCTGCTTATCAAGCTCAGGAGTTGCCTTGAGCTATGATGATGCCATTGCACTCTAGCTAGGGCAGCAGAGCAAGGACTGTCTAAAAAACTCAAAAAAACAAAGAAATGGTGTTGCCACATCTGTTCTCTTACTTAAAATAAGTAAGGTTATAAGTAGGGTTCCTGCTATTAAGATGACAATCTTTAGACCTTAATACAACTAATTAAAATTTATTTTGAAAATCCTTCCTTGTTTCCTTGGCTACATCCATCTTGGACAGAGAGAGAGAGAGCTTTGTTCTGGTTGTTTCGCATGTTGTTATTTCTGGTAGCTAACTTTCTTCATAGGACTAATGATTCTCCTATAACAGAAAATAGAGGGCTGTTATTTCTAAACAGAGGCCTATATTCCTCAGTATTGGCAAATGATGTGGGTTCCCTCAGTACTTGTGTATGTCAGAGTTCAGTTGCTTCTGGTGGTTTCCTGCTTCCTTTTGCTAAGTAATGCAGAATTTACTAAACTTGTAATAAATATGCAACTTTCAACAGCAAAAAAAAGATCTAAGAAACTGCTCTTCTAATGTGAATTAACTATTGCTTCTATTTCAGATACTTACATCTCCCTTAGCCAGGAGTAAATAACAGGCTCACTACTGTCTGTTCTTTGTTTCCCTTTTTTTGATGCATTTAGTTCTCTTACCATACCTCTGGGTACCAGTTCACTTGTGCTTTTCCATATGTTTGCACATGGAGGGCTGATAAACCAATCACAAAAATTCTTGATGATGTAGTATACAATCAGCTGGTGTCCAGTTAACTAATTGCAAGCTAAAGAATTCCGCAAAAATGCCTAGCGTAAAACCCTATGATATTGTAACAGGAACTCTTGATATTTGCTGATGGAAATCTAAATTTGTACAACTGCTTTGGAAAATTGGTTGATAGAACTTAACAAAGCTAAATGTATGGCCAGGTGCAGTGGCTCATGCCTGTAATCCTAGCACTCTGGGAGGCTGAGGCAGATGGATTGCTTGATCTTGGGAGTTTAAGACCAGCCCGAGCAGGAGGTTGACCCCATATCCACTAAAAATAGAAGAACCAACTGGGCGTTGTGGCAGGAGGCTGTAGTTCCAGCTATTTGGGAGGCTTGAGCCAAGGAGTCTGAGGTTGCTGTGAGCTAGGCTGATGCCATGGCACTATACCCAGGATTATAGAGTGATACTCTGTCTCAAAAAAAAAAAATTAGTGTACATGTATGATGGACCCAGAAATTCCACCTCTGCGTATATTCCCAACATAAATAAGTGCTTACATCTGCCAAAAGTTACATATAAGAACCTTCATGGTATATTTAATAATAATAGCCAACAGCAAGGAACAACCTAAATATTTAACAATAATGGAATAGGTAAATAAAATGTAGTATGCTTACAACATGGAATACTATATAGAAACAAAAAGAAACAAATTACTGATAATAAGAAACAAATTACAGATAAACCCCACAGTCATATGTTGGGAGAAAAAGGCCTTGCACAAAAGAGTACGTGACTGCATGTTTCCATTTATGTAACATTCAAGAGTAGGAATAGGCATAACCAACCTAGGATAATAGAGATTAGAGGAATGGTAATCATTTAGTGAATCTTGACTGGCTAGGGAATTTGCTAAAGCCCTAGAGATGGTCCATATCTTGATGTGGAAGATAGTCACATGGATGTACTTAACGTAAAAATTATAGAGCGATTCAAGATTAGTTGACCTTTCTCTGTATAAGATACACTTCAATTAAAAAATATCACGTGGTATTTTCTAGAACTAGGGAAGGAAGAATTAGAGAGATCTTTATTTGGAGAGTAAAAGAATACTTTTGGGGAAAGGTAATCTCTAGAAGAATTACCTAAATCCTTCCTTTGTCCTACTAACAGACATTTCTCTAACTAGAATAGAAGTGGTTCCTACTCTTTTCTTACTATTAAATTACTTTCTACACACTATTTTAAGACTTCTGGTAAATGCAAGTCCAAAGTTATATTCTCAGTGCTCCAGAAACTTACAATCTAGAGAGACAAGACTAACACCCAAAATATTTAGAGAACTTAATGTAATTGCCTTTTTTGTAAGTGCAAATTTTGAGGCACAGAGTTCTCCAGGGATTCAGGTGAAAGAGAACTCACTGAGAAATAGAGTAATTGCTTTTAGTGAAGGAGGAAGGGCTGAAGGTGAGGGTGTGAAAATAGAAGGGCAGACAAAATGCCAGCCGGTTCTTCACCGCTTTGTATTTGTGTTAAGAACTGTAGACAACCTGTTGTAAGACTTTACAAAATGACCAGGAAAGGGAAGGGATATTTGTCAAACAGGAAAAAATAAACTCAGGAGGATTATAGTCTTCTCAAGAGATTCAGACTTGGACTCTAAACGGCTGCTGGTCTAAACCCACAGTGCTGGGAGGACAGAAGTACAGTCAGAGGAGTGAAGGGAGCAGGAAAGAACTGGGGCTCTAACTGAACTGTACACCCTCTGTATTGCACAGAGGTCCTTTTTATATATAATAAAGCAATTATTATTGTTGGATTATGAAGAAAACCAAAGTGTGTGTTTGTAACAGGCTGATACTTTTAGAAAAGGGCACAAAATTAGGGGGTGATATATTAAGTTCTCCTTCATGTTTTCCCCTCTTTCCCCACATTCATGTGTCTGGAATAACACATACACACACACACCTTATACTCTTACTCTGGCGCTGGGGAGTAGGGGTTCAGAGTTTATCCGAAGTGCACTGTCCACTCTCTGGGCTCTGTGGGTGGAGCTGGGAGGGAGATAGAAAGGTTGGCAGATGTATGAAGACGGCTGACATTCATCTCAGCTGGCTCAGAATTCATGTATCCAGAGTTCTGACTCGCCTGCCAGGCTCTTGCCTCCTGTGCTCTCGTAATTGCTTTTGAAAAGGTTTTCTGGCTACAACAAAATCTGATTAAATTTGTTACCAAGAAAATTGAATTGTTCAAGCTGCAGCCATTCTAGAAGTTCTAAACATCATTTAAAAGAAGATTTCCCTCTCGTTCCATTTGAAGTTTCTCTAGGGAGCTGCTCTTGTGCTGTTTGGCTCCTTCCTCACCTGAAATGGAACAAAGGTAAGGTTTGCATTCTTTTTCTACTGAATTTAGGGGTGAAGGGAAGAGTCCCCTTAATCCTCTGAAGGTTCACTGAAAACTCAATTCACAAAGGGCAGACTAATAGGGGAAAAGACATACAAATCTATTTAATATGTATACACAGAAGTATTTAGAATGAAAACCTCAAAACACAGGGTTCTGTTTTTATGTACAGGTTCAACAAAATACAGACAACTGTGTAGAAATATGATTAGAAAAAAAGGTATAATCTAATGCTAACAGACTGAGTGGGGAAACCCGCTAATGCCTATCTGAGCTGGCCTTTCTTCTCTCGGGGTGTGGCAGGACCTTCCCAAGAATGGGGGTCTTATGACCTACTGTCGTATAAGGCAGGTCAGACCATTTCAGGTCAGAGAAAAACTTTCACTTCTGAGGCCTTTATTTTGGGGTATTGTTTCCTGAGCCCAACATATATTTTTGGTTGTTTGTCTTCTTCTATAACTAGGTACAAGAATTGAGAGGTCTTGTGGGGTGGGGGGTTGGGATCCATGATCTTAAAACAATTTTTGAGTATACAGTGTTGACCATCTCAGGAATATCTGATTTACAATTCATTAGTTATTTGGGTGTAGCGCTTTCATTCCTGTGCCCTTCTCCCTCTTGACATTCTATCTGTTTGAGCTCTCTCTCTCCAACCCCTGTCTATCTGAATCCCCCCCTCACCAGTGACATCCTTTTTTCTGTAGGATGCCCTTATTTTTTCTCTGTCTGCCAGCAGATCTTCTTGTTCTTGGAACTTCTTCCTGTCAGTGTTACTTAGTGCTTTGCTCAGGGGTCTGAAAGCTTTAGGACCAAGAGACAGACTAAAGAATTGGGGCTGAAAGGAGGACTGAGAGTTTGGACTTGAGGGATGCTCTGGACTAAGAGGTACACTGAATTCATGACTCCAAAGTGCCAAATATCAGTCTTAAAACTCCTATCAGTAAAAGGTTGACTACTTTGGGGGGTAAACAAAATTTGTGTGGACTGGGTTAAAATTTATTTGCCATTTGCGTCTTCTTTTCTATAAGGAAGTATAACTGCAATATAAAACAAACATTTAGAACACTACTAAGTCATCAATGGAGGGTGCTTTCTGTAGTCTATTTAATTTTTAAAAAATAATTGTAACAAAAAATATTATTGTAACATTTTGCTAAGTTCTAGTTCTCTGGTAAAATGTGGAGCTATTCTATAGATATCTTAGGAATGGTGACATGTTTCAACTTCAGGTTCACTTAAAGGATTTTCTAAGAAGCCCGCTTGTGAACCATTAATTGCAATGTTTCTTTATCCTTTAAACAGTCATTTGTTGAAATCTTGTGTGCTAGATTGTGGGAGTGCAGTGGCAAGCATTGTTCCTGCCCTTGGGTAGCTTACAGTTTTCTAGGGGATACTGATATTAAGTAATCAACCTCAAATTTAAAAATAAAATTATAAGTTTGATAAGTCAGGTGAAATAAAAGTATATGATGTCACAAGTCTGTGTCTTAGTGGGATTTGACCTTGTCTGGGGAGTCAGGGAAGACTTCTCAGCCAAGATGATGATTAAACTGAGATTTAGTAGAAGGATAAAGAGAGTCAAATCTGTAAAGAAGGATCAAAGAAGGATATCACAGGTATAGGATTGTACTTTACAGACATGAAAGAATACCAGATGTCCTTAGGAGGAAATGCATAGTACAAAATAGGCAAGAGCCTATAAACTGGATCATCCAGTTTATTATATTTACATAGTTATCACTGGGGATCATTATGTATGCTTCACCTCCTCGGCCATGTTAGGAATTTTATTCTTTTTTCTGGGAACAATAAGAGGAGATTCATGCATTTGGGAGAAGTGGTAAAAAGAACTGTCAGGGTGGAATTATTTTACATTTTTATTTAAAATTTGTTATTCTGGTCATAGTAGAAAGAACAGATTAGAGAAAGAGTGAATGCAGCGTGACAAGTCAGGGGGCTGTGGAAGTGGTCCAGATGGGTGTGGTAGCTTAGATTAGGGTGGTGGAGGAGGATGGCTGTGAGACAGACTTAGAGGTAAAATAAATGGGTTTGGCTTGAATATGAGGTGAAGAGAAAAAGGGAGCTGTAAAAATTAACAGGGGTCAATGGTGGGTGACCCCTGTTAATTTTTGAAGGGTAACATTTGAAGTGTTAGGATGGGTGAGATGCACTGAGTTGAATTTGGGGTATGCTAAGTTTCAGATGTCTTGAGGACACCTAAGTAGATGTGTACAAAAGACATTTAGCTGTACAGATAGATCTTTGTGGTTCAGGGTTTGCCCATAAATGTGTCTGAGGGTCCTTTTTGTTCAGGAGATAATTGAAGCTAAGAGCATAACTGAGATCCTTTAGGGAGAAAATGTCAAGAGAGGCCAGAGCTTATCCTTGAGGACCTACACAACATTTAATGATTAAGTAGAGGAAGGATGTGTCTACAAAGGAAACAAAGAGGAACCAGAAATGAAAGAAGAAAACTAGCAAGCTATTAGGTATGCAGAGACAGCGATCACAAAAAATATGTCTGGATGTAAAGGAGAGGAGAGAGAGAACTAGCTGGAGGGCGTATGGACTGAAACATATTTTAAAAATAAAATAAGATTCCATTTATATACCATTTGAAAAATGACATGATAGTAGATCCTTAATGGCTGCTGGAGGATAGGAATGGTGAGGGTATAACTTGGTGGTGGTGGAAGAGTAACATATCTTGAGTATGGTGATGGCTACATAAATCAATGCATAAAATAAAATTTCATAGAACTACACACATGCATACAATAGATGCTTGTATAAATCTGCTGCCCTTGAGTTCTCTGACCGGAGACACCCTGCTGTACTGAGGATAGCTTTTCTATCCTTTCCCCTGGATGTTCCCTTGTTCTTCTCTCCTTTCAAATGATGCCCTTCTAAGTCTGGGAAGTTTTAAGATGTGAAGGGCTTCCTCTTCATGTAAACCTGTTAAAGCAGCATCCCAATAAAGCTTTATATGTAACTGCCAACTCATGGTCCTGTCTTTTTCTTTGATTGGTCCAGAAATCCTTGAACTTCCTCCAGTTTTGTCCTCCCTCCCTTTCTCCCTCCCTCCCTCTCTCTCTTTCTTTCTTTCTTGTGCTGCAGGGCTGCTTTATTTCAGAGAGAGAACAGGAGCATGCTTCTGCATAGTCACAGAAGGGGATCCAAGAGAGGGTTGCCAAGGAAAAGTGGAGAGTGCTGGGTATATATCCTGACACTTGCCCCTCTCTGGTCTCAACCTTGTTTGTTTTCGATCCTCCTGATTATTGGTTGTTTCTTCAGGCCTTCATCTAATTGGTTCTTGATCATGAGGAAAGTTTGAGGGGAAGTTTTTAGACTGACCTGGAAGCCCTGAGCCAGCCACCCACATTCCTCCCACTGACAGGGAGATGCAACTGATGTTGGGAAAGGGGGTGCTGACTGTTCTTGCTGCTTCCTGATGGTTAGGGGAGTTGGGGGGCCCAATAGTTGAGTGTTCCTCCAGAAGGAGCACCTGTAGGGTGGGCTGCTCAGGGATAATTGGAGGGTTTATCTAGGGGCCCATGGAAGAAGGTGGTGGTGGTTTCCATGTGGGGTTCCATGTCAAGGAACATTTGTAAGCAGATGTCCTCTAGCCTAGAAGAGACAAATTTGACAAGAAGATTTGGGTTACATGGGCCAAAGGTAATTATTAAAATGAAAATTAATAAGGGGCCTAAAAAGGGAAGGAGCCATAACATCCACTGTCTGAGGATGTCCCAGGATCCAGAGTTGTGTCCTCAGAGGTTGGCTGCTTGTTCTGCCAATTTCTTGGCCACATCTCTGATGAATCCAAACTGGTTGATATAGAAGCAGCATTCTTCATCTAGCAACAAAGACACAAGCTTCCCTTCTCTGCAGTGAGGAGGCTAAGCCTTGTCTGTTTTGGAAGGTTATGGCTGCTAAGGAATCTGTTCGGTCTTGGAGCTTTACAAGGGTCCTGGATATTTCTTGCAGCCTTTCTTGTGGGTCTTGGGATAATATGTGGAAGAAATATAAAGAGCACCCTGTGCCTCTGAGTCTCATCTCCACTGTGCTTATTCCTAGGGCAGCAAGGAGTGGAATTAAAATGGGTGCTCTTGGCTATGTGCCCATAGCTCAGTGATTAGGCCGCCAGAGAGTTTGAACCCAGCCTGGGCCTGCTAGACAACAGTGACAACTGCAACAAAAAAAATAGCCATGTGTTGTGGCAGGTGCCTGTAGTCCCAGCTACTTGGGAGGCTGAGGGAAGAAAATCGCTTAAATTAGAGGTTGCTGTGAGCTGTGACACTACAGCACTCTACCAAGGGTGACATAGTGAGACTCTGTTTCAAAAAAAAAAAAAAAGGATGGCTGCTCTTTTGGGCCTGAATTATGCCCTATTGGGATGAGTAGAGATTGACTAGGTGGGGCAATGTAAATATTAGGGGACAGGTATGCGATAGTGCAGGTGCCAGTCCAGTTGGTGGATAGGTAAGAATATGCTTCATTTCCACAAATAAAAAATAGGCCTTCTTGGGTCAAGCAGGAAGTAAAGTGGAATGAACAGATGTGGAGTAAATTGTTCCTTATTCATGACCCTGGTTCATTGCTCCAAACTGAAAAAGAACCAGCAAGAGCCCCCCTCCCAACAGCGAGAGGGGGGAATCTGTCAACTGGTCTGTGGAGAGCATCTGAGAGCCTGTACTCCTGGGAAGGGTTTTTGAGAGTTACTGAGGCATCAAGTCTAGGAATTTTAAAGGGACTAAAGGAGATAGTAAGGTGAGGAAGAAATTGCTTCTAGTTATTCCTGTCATGTTGGAAGGGGCAGGAAGGATTTATAACTTACTTGTGGTTGTAGGATGGGTTCATGACTTACAACTTGGGGTTTGTTGGAGTTAAGTCTTTAGGGACTTTCATCGGAAGAATACCTTCCTGTTTTCCAAAGGCTTACTGGAGGTTTGCAGGTCCAAGGGTTCTTTGATTGA